AAATTAAAAAAAAATATATATATATATATGAGAAATCATATTTTTGGCCAGTGTGCGATATCTAATGTTTCTTTTGCAACGTGTTTGAGAACGTCTATAACGAGATTGTACGGAACTTCTCATTTACGAACGTTCCACAGATTATGACCTAAGTTAATTATAAATAATTATTCATATATACAGGAGAGAAATACGTGAAAAGATATCTGACTAGTATATCATGCATGATGTAACATATATTCTTACATCATAGTGTCATATATAAGTAAGAAAAAATTCGATCTATTGAGAGAATATCTTTTTCTTCTTTTATGTATTCTTTTTATGTTATAGACATCTAGAAATTACATAAAAAAATAATTTCTATTACTTATATATTAATAGGGATAGAGTTCGTTAAATTCTTGAGATTGTTAAGTTGTACACGACACATTTAATGGAATACCCGAGAAATAAAACAGATAATTAAACGAAGATGCAATCAGATTTAACTGCTACTGATAGAGCGATTTTTCGAAAAAAGATATCACCGATCTCAATATTATAAATAGAGCGTTTGGTGTCGTGCTTGCTGTGATCCTTGCTCTCGTTGTCGTCTGCTTATTTTTAGATTATTACGGCCGCGCATACATGGACCATGCAGCGCGTAGTGCCAAGAAATGCGACAAATCGGCAAATCTAGGATGAATAATATTACGTAAAAATCAATTGGCCAAAAATATTTGAAATTGTTAGCCCCAAAATCTAAGTTTTAATTAATATTATTAGTATATATCTTTGTAAATAGTCTTTCGAATGTACCGATATCGCCGGCGTCTTGATCTCGAATGGATCTTCGTTTAAGTAGCAACAATAATGAAAAAAAAAAATAATTAGGGAAAGATGACATCTGCATCATGTAACATTAGCGTGATGATCATTTTGATCATATAAGTACGCTCTGTAAATAGTTCCTTTCTATCTGTCTCTTTCAGATATATATATAATTAGAGCTCTTAGTATTCTAATTACGCAGTCTTTGCATCAAATTTTAATTCAACTTGATTTTAATTCGCATTTGTGTATATAATTATACAATATTAAAAGAGAGGCCGACGTGAGATGTCATCGAATTGTAATCGTCTAGAAAAAATCTATTATAATATAATATATTTACGTTATTAGTAGCAAAATTATTTGATGCAATGGAATGCACGTTCTGAATTGCCAATTTGTGATTATGACGAATTTATCTTGCGTTCCCGCGCGGAATTTCGGCTTCATCAAAGCGAGAATGCCTGAGGAATTCTCAATTAGACCAATTTGACGATACTTCATGCGTTATTATTCCTTCTTACGATCGTTTGTATGGAAGCTAAAACGCGATGCCATAGGGATGTGGTTGCATGTAGTAAAGTTTTACACAGGTATCGATTAGATCATGTAAGTA